ACTTGTGAACTGAGTGTAGAGCACCAGCCAGTCAGAGGCTGTCCTGCAGGTGTGTGCCTGTTGTAGGACTTCATTCCTACAGAGCACCGATTAAAGTGAAGAGTTACCAGTACCAGCTGTCATTCTTACTGTTCGGTCTTGAATGTTACGGTGATCTGTTCCCTGTGTTTTTATTTGTACCTCTTCAAAGCTCAGTGAAGTAGAAAACCTGTCTGGAAGTGCTTGTATGCTTGATGATTTGACTTACAAAAATGTCTACAAAGGGCATTAACAGATGGAAAAAACAAGGAACGTGTGAATGCTGGTCTGTCTGTCCTGTTGATTAAAGGACCAGTGAACTTCTCACCTGAAGGTATTTGGAATACTTCTGGAATGTAAACTATTGAAGTAAATATTTTTAGAAATCTTGTTTTACATCCTGGTTGTCCAAATAGTACTACTTCTTTGTGATACTTAGATAAATCAGCAGTTCTGGTGCAGAAGATAAATATATTTAGATACAGGAAATTAAGGCTTTTCTTACAGATTGAAGGTCACAAGCAGAACCTGCAGGCCATGTTTAAGTAGGAGTACATTGGGGAATCAAGAGCTCATGTTACCCCTATCTGACCTGATCTGCCTGGTCACATCTTCTCTGGCGGTAAAGTAACCAAGGGACTCGCTGCTGTCCTGATCAGTTTTGCTTTGGGAAACTGGACTGTAGCTGCCTGTATGCAGACGGTCCCCATCTCACCACAGATAGGTTAGTGAAGGATTAAGTATGATAAACTAGTGCAAGGTATTTGCCAGTCTGATTTGTCTTTGCAGCTGATAATGGCTATTATCAGACTAGTAAGGAAATCGGAGTGTCAGACGACTTTGACTTAGAATCCTTCCTTATAGTACGTTCTGGCCTATATTGCTGTGTCTTACAGTCCAGTGAGGAACAATAATTTTCTTGGAGCTTCTAATTTGTCAGCAGGGGGTTGATAATCCTGTTAGAGTAGAGCACTGCAGCTGTGCATGCAGTTTGTGCATGCAAAACCCCAGGTTTTTGGATGAACTTTGGTCATTGTTGCTTTACAAGATGTCCAGGTATTAAAAGAATAATGAGCCCCTATACATGACTTCACAAAGACTCTTCCTGTGTATTACAGAATGTGTTTGTCCTGTCCCTCCTCTTCTCTTCCCCATGTTTGTACATTTTAGTGCATTGGTGCTTAGTAGGATAAGTGACCTTCCTTGCTGATGATGCTGCAATTAATATTTTGTTATAACCATAGTCCATTATGAGCTGCAGAAGAGGGAGCTGGAAGCAACAGCATTAAACTAGGGTGACCCAAAAGCCATTGCTAAACACTGCTGGGGGGAGTATTTATTGGGTTCCCTTCTTCCTTCCCCATTGCAGTTTAAAGCATCAGTGGTAAAATTACCCCGTGCAACAGTGTCTAGCAATCTGACTTAACAATAAACCTGTAGACTAAAACTCTTCTAGTGATACCTTTCTTTTTCAGTCTTTCCACTCATTAGAGTATTACAAGAAAGGGGATAGGTTGGGACTGCATCCATGTGCTCAGGGGTAGAGGAGGAGGGCTGGAAGCAGGGTTACTAGGGGTAAGTTTTGGTCAGCAGTAGGAAGGAGGCAGCTCCCATGGAGGTCAGAGAAGGAACCACTGTTCAGCTGCTGCTGGAGGTGGGGGTGGCTCTTATACCTCATGGGGAGACCTATGGTCATTAATAGTAGCACTGCCACCTACATTTGGTGCTTGTCATTTGTATTTGATGTGGGTCTTGTCCTCTTGTTAGAGTGCTGTCTTGAAGGCAGTTCCAGCAGCTAGGCTCCAGCTCTGCCTCTGCTCTTCACCCGGGGGTTTGGACTGGCTTATCCTGTCTCAGTCATTTTGTAGGACTTTATGCCTTTACTCTTAAGGGGAAATGGAGCTGTTCCACCCTGGTGCTGGTTTCAGGGGCTGAACATACCTGCTGAAGGAAGCAAGTAATAAAACCACTGTGCCCAGGCCATGAAGCCAGGTTAGTGCATATGCAATTCCTGGCAAGTCAGCCTGTTTCAGCAGCGGATGGGGCGCTATTATGTAGAAACCCTCCTAAAGTAGCAATTTGGCACTGCAGCCCAGGTGGTGAGACATGAGGGGCATGCTGACAGTTCAGTATCCACTGTCATCTTTTGATTGTACGTATTGATTTATGGTTTGTTCCCTTCCCAGAGGGAAGGGAACCAAGGCCTTGCCTTGCCACCAAGGCAAGGCATTAGGATGTTTCACAAGTCTTCCCTCCAGCAGGGTGGATGCTGCTAATTATCACCTGCTACATCACCAGCTGTCCTTGCCCTCACCTTCACTTCATGATAGCTCAGGTGGAGTTTAGCATGTACTTGGGGGGAGAATCATACAGACCCTGCCTTGAGCACCAGTTTCCATCCAAAACACAGTACTCCCTGATGGTTGAGAAGTCATTTATTGAAGAGGATAGCACTTTGAAAGTGTACAGAAGTCCAAGGTGAAAAATGGAATCTGTTCCTATTTCACTCCACAGCCAACCTGAACAGAAACACTATTTGCTTACCCTTATTGGCATGGCTGCCAGGCACACACAGAAGCAACGCCATACCTCACAGTCCCACTTCACACAGAGCTAATGGCTGACAACACGCTCCGTATGCTTCTGCAGTGCTGTAATGCCCCACCCTAGGCCTTAACAGCTCTTCACTAAACCTCAGGAAAAAAAAAACCCAAGCATCTAGGTGCACAGTTACAGGGGCATGGTGCTACTATTGACCAACATTAAGCTATGGGAACAGTTCAGCCTTCTGCAGTTCAACATACCTGCAGAGACCATTCTACTGCACTGGTATGTTGGTCTTGGTACTCCTGTCCTTCCTCATGCAAGGGTGTGTTGCTGGGAAACTGCTTCTACAAACATTCAAGCATGGTTTTCTGAAAAATCACACTGGTATGTTGGTCTTGGTACTCCTGTCTTTTTCCTCATGCAAGGGTGTGTTGCTGTGAAACTGCTTCTACAAACATTCAAGCGTGGTTTTCTGAAAAATCGAACTAGTCCCCAAACGACGTGCCTCCGTCTGCTCATCGTTCCTCAGCCTGAAGGCTATTTCTAGGCAGGGCTGGCATAGAGACAGTGTTTACTCTGGTTTTACTACTACGGCTGACAGCAAAGTTTTTTATTTAAGGCACTTGCTATTATTTGCAATTGCTAGTGCATCAAGCAGCTCAGCTGTAGCAATGCTCAGCATTGCAATTAAGCAATGTCAAAGGGAAGAAGTAATAGTTCATTATTACTGCGGCATTTCACCACACTCTTCTGTAGCAGTCCACTCCCCAGAGCAGGAGTTTGGCTAAAAGTTCCCAAAAGCGGGACTTTCTTCAGCTGTTCAGGGTGGCAGGAGGACCACCACCTACCAGAGGAGGTTAACAGCGAGCAATACCATCCACCCAAGGATCCATTTTTAATGCACTACAGCAGTCCATCTTATCTGTTTTACTTTTTCATAGCGTGGGGGGGGCTGGAAAAGCCTGGCTTTCAGGGGGAACATCCACACTCTCCTGCAGTTTTACACTGTAACCAGAACAGCCTGCACTGATCCAACACGTTACTCCAACTGATCTGGTACAGTCTCCTTGCCAGAGGATGCTCTCTAAATCCATTTCAGAACCCCTTGACATGAATCAAAAGGTGCTCACCTTTTTAAGGGCGTTGGGTTGAACCGTAAGCAAATTGATCCCTGGTCAGCCAAGACTGACTACCTCAGTAAAGTCTTGGCCAAAATGTAGAAATGAGTTTAAACCAATTTCGGAGCAGCCTATGATGTCACATGCTGCCTCCAGACATTACTATTACAAGCAGCAGCTAGGTAGCAGGCATTTTTGTGACCAGAAGACACTATTGCCAGTGTATAGCCTCATGAAAAAAGCACTTTCTTAGATGGAGGTTTCTATTCTTCTGGGAGATTTGCCATTTTCCAGAGTGTACTGTAAGCCACCTTACTTTCAACAAGTGAGTTCTCTGTAAACAAAGGGGGGGAAAAAAAAAACCCACCCAACCCCAGAACCCCCCCAAAACCTGTCAATAGTACAGTTGCCAACTTGGTCTTGCAGAGATCAGTGCCATGTTTTGGGACAACAAATACATAGACTGATGTTACTTGGTCTGTTCTCGGGCAGTAGCAAACAGTGAGTCTGTATAGAAAGCCGTTCTCACATTACTGCGTGGTCACAAGCTTTACAATCATACTGATGATCCGAGATCCACGGGGGCACATGCATAAATCCATGCTGGGATTCTTGATTTTATCCTGCAGCATCTGGTCTAGTTCACAGCGCAGCTCTTTCACCAGCTCAGCCACCTAACACACATGGTAAAACACAGAGGCGAGTGTAAGGCTCATGAAATGCATCATCTCCTGCATTCTAAACACAAGCACAGCTCTGCAGCACTCCCAGGGTTATCCCTCCTTTTCCTTACCTGGTGAGAGGCAGCCACAAACCGTATCCAGCCATCATCAAGAGAAATGACAAATTCTCCCTTCTGCAGCTGCATGTGAACCTGCCCGCCTCCAAGCAGGACCAGCGGGTACACTGACACCATACTGCAGTCTCGAATGAACACGCGGCTGGTCTTGATTTTCTCATGATATACCAGGTAGGGGCTCTCAAAGTTCCTAGTCTGGAACACGTACACAACATCCTCGTTAAAGCACCACATCTCTTCCTACCTGCTCAGGCAAATACGGGCCTGCCTCCCTCTTCACACAGGCCGCCCCTGCCTCTTCTACGGCTGCAAAGAACAGCAAATGTGCCTAAAATGCACCTGCATAATTAACAGACTCTCTCTGACCCATAAGAGCTGCCACTAGCTTTGCCAGTTATCCCTTGCTCCTTCCCACTTTGCAGTGAGCATGTGAGAGATCAGCTAATTCATTAATGTTGCCTCAGGGCCCCAAGTTCTCCATTTCATACTAAGGACATTTTCATGTGCGCATTTGTTATGCTCTTTCAAAGCAAGAGTGATGAACAGTTCAAAGCCTTTACAACTCAAATATGTGGTTAATGATTAAAAAACCACTTTTTTAAAGCAAGTAATTTATATCCTGGAAAAGCAATGAATCATCAAATATGGAGAGAGACTTCATGAGACAAATATTACCATACATCATGGCAGAGAGAGAAGAGCTCTTATTTAAGTATTAGCTATTAAGCTGGAAGGGAAATTAACTTCAGAGTTTGAGGACCCACAAAGAAACAAGCCAGAGTATGTCTCTGAATTATTTACCAATAAATAATATTTCAGCTGAAGAGACAAAGCCTGGGGAGGGGCGGTGGGGAAAAGTCATCTACATGTATGAAGGTGCTACGCATGTGCATGCAATCTCAGTCGATACTGAGGAGAAGCCAGGGGAGCACTGCAACTGCAACATTTTTGCGTGCAGCTTTGCCAAAACATCTTAAGAAAACATGAACTGAGGGGTTACTGCATCTGCTAATTCCACTCCAGAGGACGGAGTTTAACTGTGTGCCCAAGAGGACACTCTTAACTCAGGAACGCATCATTATTTACAATTCTAACAGGGGACAGTTCAATCATGAATTTTTTTTAAACATCAATAGGGATCCTCACTGTAATCTCAACTGCTCAAGCAAAGGTGATTTCTTTTATAAAAAAGAGCACGCTTTGCAGAAGAAAAGAATTCTGACCTGATAATTCACAGATGAAGGGTGAATGTGAACATAACCATCATTTTTGGTAACAAACTTCAGCTCTTCTGCTTTTGGTTGCATTTTGACTGCTCCTGTACTGGTCTTCTGGTATTTGCCCTCTGGCTTTTTCACCTGTATGGTAAGATAAAAAGTTATAAAAATCTGCTGTACCAGAAAACCTTTAACTTATGTTTTAATTTTATCAAAAACAGAAATTCTCAAGTAGTAACATGTCAAGTCACTAGAGACAGATAATTACACTCCGGGTGCTGTCTAACCCTGACTTCTTATTGTAACCTCAACCTAACTTCTTATTTGTAACCTCAACCTTCTAAAAAGCTGTAATTTAAAGTAGCTTCTTAAGAACATTTGCTGCTGGCTTGTGTGTGACACTAAAATCAGCCTGTAGGAACAGCAGCGCTCTCAAGCAATACAAACTGGAGCCCAGCTGCCTGGCTCTAACACTGTAAGCAGCAAGCTTTGGCAACCTAAGCCAGGCTCAAGGCTGCCACAATCAGCCCAGACTGAAAGCAGGCTGTGTGGATACGCTAGACAGGAGAAGAGGAAATGAAAAAGCGTTCTTTTACCTGGACAACATTGGGATACAGTGCAGCACACAACATAGCTGAGATCAGCTTGATGTTCTCTGCATTCGAATTTGCCTGTGAAATTAATGCATGCATTAGGTATTCTACAGGTAAGTCTATAAAGGTAAAGCCCTGCTTCTGGAATGATTGAATTCCTGAAACTGGTTTACTTTTACAGCTGCACTGCTGTGCTTTATAGGGGAGGACCAGTTACTGCTCCTAAGGTCTCAGGGTAGACCTGGGCTGTGTTCCCCCCACTATCAATGGAGCAAATTGGCCACCAACTGTCTTGATGCAGTTAGTGCTGAACCTAATTGTTCCCTAACAATTGTCTGGCTACAAAGCGTCTTGCCCCCGAGAGAAGGCAAGCACAAGTTGTCCCAATGCACAGTGGGACTCTACAGCTACCAAACCCTTATCACCTCATCATGTACCCCTAGGAGATCTCTGGCTCTGGAAGTACTGCTTTCTGAAGATTGTCCAAAACGCTGAAATATTTCACTGCCTGCTTTGTAATGTAATTCTGTTCCCAAAATAAGGTTGGCACTAATCCCAACATTCAGGCCAGGTCATGAGTCAGGCCCGTGCCTTTCCACCACTTGCTGACTTCTAACGTGTCAAGTCAGCAGTGTTTCACTGTCTCAAAGGAGCAGGTTTCAGCTCATTTCCACATCTGGGCCTGTTCCTCCTGGGCACATAAAGCCACATGCAATCGAGGCTAGTACCAGCACATACGATGTACAGGGAGGAAGAACAGAGCAGGTAGGAGGCGACTGTTGCCGGTGTGAGATTACAAAGCCGGGCTGTGGCAAGAAGCCCGCCAGTCTAGAGCCCACCTGGCACCCAGGTCAAATGAAAAACTGCAGCATTGTTTTGGAGCACTGAAATGCTGTGAATTACCTCTTCTCCTGTGGCATCCAATACGCCATCACCTCCTTGGGACCACTTCTTCTCAATGTCCCTGGCTCTTAATCCCTCCTTCACAAACCCGATGTCAGAAAGCAGTTCTGTGAATTGCCGTTTCAGACTGGCAATTTCCTACAAACAGACAAAGGGCTGGGATGGGTGCCACACAGAGTGAGGAGAGTCTTCACCAATTGCTTATTTTTGTCACTAGGACTTTGCCAGTGTCTCAACCAGTCCCTGTGCAAGGCCACAAAAACTGACTTACCTGAAGAACTCTTCCTGACAGAAAGTTCTCCCTGCAGTAGTTGTAGCTTGCCTGAGAGCCCTCTTTAATACTCAAACGCCATCCCTAATTGAGAGGACGGGAGGAAACCTTTAATAAAATACTTCAGCTTGAATTTCAAGCACATCACAAACCCCTGAGAGAGGCTACTGATTTTTAGCTCACCTTATAGGCCTGGAGAAGAGCCAGGTAGTCACTGTTTCCTACTGCAAACTCCAACTTCTTTTTGTTTGCTTCTTCCCTTTTATCCCATGGTGACACCTAGACAGGCAGTAACAGATTAAGCGTGTTCTTCCCCTCACAACTTAGACAAGCCATTGTGAGAGCTGCATGGCACATAATCTTTGGTATTTTCACAGCAGCTCACAGGTCGGAATGCAAATTTTCTCCATGGATAACAGAAAATATGAGGCATTCAAAA